ACAAAATTAGATAAATTCGTCTTAGATGATTTGGTCACAGCGTCGACCATCTGATGATCCAATTAGAAGAGTAGATGTTTTAGATTAGACTTATGTTAAGAAAGACAGAGGTAGACCTATGAAGACTTGGGTTTATTGTATAAAAAATGATCTTAATTTATTAGAACTAAATGAAAATATGAAACTAAATAGAACGCAATGGAGAAAAAGGATTCATGTAGTTGACCCCGCATAGTGGGATTAATGCTTTGTTGTTGTTGTTGTTTTTGAGTAAACTTCAAAATTTCAATATTTGAGATGGTTCATGAAGAAGCAAATTTTATGCAGGATAAAGTAACAAACACTATTAAACAAGTGGCAAAAGATATACTTGGAGCATAAAAAAAAAGTTCATATAAAAAAATAATTTGTGGTGAAATAACAATATGCAAGAAAAGATAAATTATAAGTTATGTTATAAAAATTGATTTAAATGTAAAAGCTTAGAGAAATAGAACAAATATAAAATTGTCCATACGGAGTGTAAGAGAATAATTTGTGATGATAAAAATTTAGCTTTTAGTGATATTTATAATAGATTAGATACTAAAGAGAGTGAAAAATATATATATAAATTAGTCAAACAAAGAGAAAAAAAGTTAAGATTTAACTCAAATAAAGTGTATTAAAAATGAAAATCAAAAAGTATTTTTCTTAGAATAAGATATTCAACATAGGCGGGGGAGTAATTTTGATAAACTTTTTAATGAAGTTTCTGAAAATACGATCGACCTTAATGATCTTAATATCATTAATAATAATAAAATGTTTTATTTTTACCATCGCATTAATAAAAAAGAAGTTGATGGGGCTTTAAAGAAAACTAAGGTTGAAAATTCTGTAGGACCTGATAATATCTCAATTGTATCTTTCCAGTTTAGCAGTTTTCAATGATAACAAGGAGTTTCTTGGATTACTAAACTTTTTATTATTATTTTTAAAACTAAAAAGATGCATGAGGAGTGGAGGAAGAGTATTTTGGTCCCCATTTTTAAGAATACAGGGGATGCACAAGAGTGTGCAAATTATAGAGGATTTAAGTTGATGTCATACTTTAAAATTATGGTAGAGGGCAATTAAACATTGGTAAAGACATATTACAAAAACTTCTCATAATCAATTTGGATTTATGTCAAAAAGGTCTATTATAGAAGTTATACATTTAATGAGAGGTTGATGGAGAAGTTCGGAGAGAATAAAAAGGATCTACATATGATTTTTATTGATTTAGAAAAAACTTATGATAAGGTTCCAAGAGATATCCTTTGGAGAGTTCTAGAGAAGCAAGACGTTGATATGATTTATATTCAAGTCTTTAAAGATATGTATGCTAGAGTTGTTACTTCTGTTCGAACAGGAGAAGGATTGACCAAATATTTTTCTATTTCAGTTGGATTACATCCAGCTTTAAGCTCATATTTTTTAGCTTTAGTTATAGATGCTTTTACTGGACATTTACGGGAAGATGCAACTTGGTGTATGCTTTTCGTTGATGATATCCTTCTCGTGGATAAAATTAAAGAAAAAACTCAGGAAAACTTGAATTATGAAGGTCTACATTGGAGTCTAAAGGTATTCGTTTGAGTAGAACTAAAACCGAATACATAAAAGGTAATTTTAATAATAGTAGCTCTAGTATAATTGTAACTATAGGTGGTCAAATTATTAGAAGATGTTAACGTTTTAGATATCTCGGGT